TAGAGAAATGTTTTAATTTGTTCTACTGAACTTGGGATATTTATCACCGAGCAGTGAGTGACAAAAGAGTTAGCAGGACAACTGGCAAATTGATACGATGTGCACAATTCATATCATTGTTTATTACTCGCGATACTTACATTGCTAATTAAAACTAAATTAATCCCAAATTATTTATTAATCATGATACATGTATAGCTGTGATAGTATAGAGTGTCAAGCAATCAAAAGGTCTTCATCACACACAATTTAAGTATATTATGAAACCGAACACTTTTTTTTTTTTTTAAGTAGCTCAGGGTTGTATTATCGCCACCATCCACTATTTATCCCTGCTGAACATTCTGTAATACCCTACTCAGGAAATCACCATGCTTGAAGTGAAGGTGATGCAAGGACGGATTAGTGTGCCAATTTACGACTAGCTTGATGTCTGCTAAGAGGTCACACACAAGCCGCCTTTTCCAACATACTGGATTACACTGGAAAAGAGCCATTAGCCTTGCAGCCGTTATAAACCTTCAGTTTCATTCATGCCTCAAATGTTATCAGGTCACCTGCAACCTATGGACAGAAGCACAAGCTTTAAGAAATTTTTCCCTTCAATATCTTTCATGGGATTCCTCTATTGGCTTTAAACTCAACTTGTTTCGCAAATATTTGACTCTTTAGTCTGCGACGACTTGAGTAAGGAATCTGCTGAACATTCTGTAATACCCTACTCAGGAACTCACCATGCTTGAAGTGAAGGTGATGCAAGGACGGATTAGTGTGCCAATTTACGACTAGCTTGATGTCTGCTAAGAGGTCACACACAAGCCGCCTTTTCCAACATACTGGATTACACTGGAAAAGAGCCATTAGCCTTGCAGCCGTTATAAACCTTCAGTTTCATTCATGCCTCAAATGTTATCAGGTCACCTGCAACCTATGGACAGAAGCACAAGCTTTAAGAAATTTTTCCCTTCAATATCTTTCATGGGATTCCTCTATTGGCTTTAAACTCAACTTGTTTCGCAAATATTTGACTCTTTAGTCTGCGACGACTTGAGTAAGGAATATCTAAAATCACTACAATTGTAAAAATGCAGATGCACATAAATTCATACAAATTTTGAGATGAGATTCAAGTATACAGAAACACGTAGAGCTCCAAAACAGATTACAGATTACAGTCTTGCAGGAATAGATTACATTGAGGGGCACAAGTGTCCCCTCAGCTGTCTTTGGCTCAGACTCGAGCACAACTCTGGAAGGCCAACAGGGTACGAGGTTGCATCTTAAGAAAATAAATGCTGCCTGACACTCAGGAACACGGTTAAAGGCATGTGAGAAGTCTAGCATCTGAATAAACACTTAGACACTTCCAAGTGACAACTCTCTGCGGTGCAGTTTGAAGGGGATATAATGATTTGATCAGACTTTAACTGAAATTGACTTTTTTTTTATTGTCCTCTTGTATTATCAGCACACATTTTTTTCTGTTTAACACTGTAAAGCTGCTTTGACAGTCTGTATTGCATAAAGTGCTATATAAATAAAGGTGACTTGATTTGTTTTAATACCATGTAAAAAATGCACCTACTACCCTGACTGCCTAATGCCGAGTTCACACTGCACGATTTTATCCCCGAACGCGATTTTTACCGGGGGACCCCCTCGAAAGCAATTGGGCTATTTTCAGGCTAGTTTTGAGTAGTAATTGGGCGGGTTTTGTAGCGAAAACCTGGCAACCCTGCACCAGACAGAGCTGTCTGCGATTCTTCCTATTGTAAAGTCATGCAGTGTGTAACCTCCTGTCATCGTTCCGTTGTGCAGTGTGAACACAGCAACAACTGAATGCTACCCCAGATAGTCGTTCAGTGTGAAACCAACAGTGATGCGACGTCTTTGAAAATCGTGCAGTGTGAACTCGGCATTAGAAAAATCACACCAATTTCTGACAAACCAAGACTCTCTAAGCTGCAAAAAAAGGCTCCATGCCAGTGAATCATTCTGCTAGTTCAGTTTGTGGACATATTTTTAAAGGGTGGGGACAGTTTGTTAGAATTTAGGAACAGGGCGGAAGCCATCCAAATGGCTGAATCACAACACCTGTAACGCAAGATATAAAAGGTAGAAACAAACAAACAAAAAAACACCACAGGAAGTTATGGTGTAGGTTCATTCAGTGGGTCTTTATTGATGCATTGACTAAAAACAGACCAGCTGGAAAACAGGTAGATTTTAGTACCTGGCATTCTTTCTTTCTGGGAATGACAGTATGGTGAGGGGAACAAAAAGAAAAAAGATAAACGGGGCAAAAGAAAACTGCAAAAACAATTTCCCCCAGTTCAACTAGTACAGACGTACTAGTTGGTCCCTATAAATAAGGCGGAATTTGAGAGTCCTTCCAAATGTACAAGATATGTTACAGTTAAACATCTCACATTGAATGGTGGACAGGAAACGCTTAAATGACCTTCTTCAGCTCATCATACAAGACCAGCACAAAGGCACCACCCATGCCTCTGAGAACATTGGACCAGGCTCCCTTGAAGAAAGCCTTGCCGCCCTCATCACGTGTAATCTTCTTCCAGCAGTCAATTGTGCCACTGTACATGATGTCGGCTGCAACAAAAGAAAAAAAAAGTGATCAATCCACTGCTTTAACTTGTCAACTTGTATTGGAAACATCTTAAAAGCGGTAACAGACCTCCTTTGCGTCCAGACTGCATCATCATACGACGACGGACTGTATCGAAGGGGTAGGATGCAAGACCAGCAACAGCAGTCACAGACTGAGCGATCATCCAGCTGACAACAATGTGGGTGTTTTTGGGATCTGGCAGCATACCTAAAGACAAAAGAGCAAATGTAGAAAATGCAGCAATGGCACACATTGACGATGAACCCTTCAAACGCAAAGTGGACTCACCCTTGGCTGTGTCATAGATGCCGAAGTAGGCGGCTCTGTAAATGATGATACCCTGCACGGACACATTGAAGCCCTGGTACAGACCTTTGATGCCATCAGACTTGGAGATCTTTACCAAGCAGTTACCCAAGCCGCTGAACTCTCTTTCTGCTCCAGCCTTGCCGACATCAGCGGCCAGACGGGTTCTTGCGAAGTCGAGGGGGTAGACGAAGCAGAGGGATGTGGCACCAGCAGCACCACCTGAGGCCAGGTTACCAGCGAAGTACCTCCAGAACTGAGTGTGCTTGTCTACGCCATCGAGGAAGATCTTCTTGTACTTGTCCTTAAAAGCAAAGTTGAGGGCCTGGGTGGGGAAGTATCTGATGACGTTTGCCAAGTTTCCTCTCCAGAACGACAGGAAGCCCTGCTCCTTGGGAATACGCACCACGCAGTCAATAATGCCCTTGTACTGCATATCCGCTGTAATCTGTTTGCTAGCATGTTGCACCTGTAAACACAGAAGAAAATCTATGAATGCACACAATGAAAGGCAATGCAATGGAAAACAGTGATTTAAAAAGACTAGTTGAAGCCTCCAACTGAATTTAGTGTTAAATAGTTTAAAACCATTTTCCTCTTTATGGAACAAAACCAAAGAGGATCCACGAACACCACGTGATTATGCGAAACGAAAAAGCCGGCAAAATAAGCGATATCTTCCGGTAGGTGGTTTCCCTAAAATTGTCTGCAAAAACAATTAAATTGTTGTAAAAGGGTGTGAAAACTAGAAATATGCAACATTCAATCAATGTTAGTATATGATACGCCCATAAAACATCGCGTCCTATTAAACAATAGCTGTGGGACTTCGACGTTCTAGGACGCGAGCCGTACCTTGCAAGCTAGCAATAAAGGCCTAACATAGCTATTCACAGGCCTCCCCTTCTCGCGACCTTGGCGAGATCAGTAAGGATGCTGGTTTACCGTGTTTCGCTGCTGAAGTGTTTTAAAAGAAATAAAAATACGTCTTTCCAAATCCCTACAAAAGCAAAAAAAAAACAACAACAACACCCAGCTCTGTTAAATTCCAGTCGTTTGGTCACTCATTGGTTAGTGGTCGAGGCATTTCTCAAGTTCTCTCGAGGGTTGGGAAAGGTTACGGAGCACTCAAGGCCTAGTCGATCTTTTAACATATTATTTGACGACCAGCTTGATTTTAAACGGCTCAAAGTCTACTTTACTCACACAAAGATCAAGATTCTCATTTAGTAAAGAGGTTCACCGTTTCGTTAGAAGCTCTCCGTTCAATGATCAATTAAACATGAAACGTTAATTGAAAAAAAATCGCAGATTAAAATCTGAAAATGCTCTTGGGTTTTATTTGAACCATAAAATCTTCTAGGATTACACGGTGCTGGTTGTATTCACATTTTAGTCCAGTATGCAATGTAATTACTTAAAATTGTGCGATTGTATAATCCCATTAATATAACTGCGTACCTGAAGCAGCAGCTTGACTCTCTCGATGGGGGCTACGGCGGTTTTAGAGATAGCAGCGGCAATACCACCGGCCAAGAAGTCCTTGGCGAAAGAGATAGCGGTCTCATTCATTGTCGGATGTTCTTGGAGAGGTGTCGCTTGAAGAGGTCTATCCCGCTCTGCCGCAGGACTAGCGTTGAATGCCGGCTGATTCGAAATGGCCGAATAAAAAGTTGAGAAGAGATTTTTTAAAGGTTCGTCTCGCGAGAGATAACGTACCCAAGACTTCTAAGATTCGATTGGACTGTCGACTAAACGTCACAGATTCCAGGAGGCGGGGCCCTTTTATGACGACCGAGATGAATGGCTCAAAGTTAGAAAGGTAACCTTCTCAAGGTGGAAAGCGTAAATGACAACAGGAAGTTTTTAAAACATAGAAAAATGTTTCCATGAAGTCAGTAATTCATGACTAATAATGTTTAAAACCGAACAAAAACATACTTTTTTGCACTGTTTTTGATGCACACTGACAATTCAGTACAGCAAGAGGATCAGGATTGTCCAGTTTTTCGTTTCAGCTGTCAAGCCAAGAAGCAGTTCTCCAAGGTGACATAGCATGCATGTTTGTCACTAGCTTGATCGCGGACTGTCTTTAGTTAATGATCTCCAAGGGCATATGTGTAAGAGAAAAAGGGCCAATATGTCAGTACAAAGTCCTTCACATGACTTTTGACTGAGGCAAAGCAAGTGATTTGGGAACATGTGACTACACAAGGCAATTAAAAAAAAATCAATACTGCCTGCATCACTACCATCTCTACAAATGCAATTCAATTTTGTTTGTATTATATAACAATGAACGGATAATAAGATATGATGAATAACACAATAAGTTGACAATAAGGACTAAGATACGTTTATTGCTTATACTTCTTAATTTGTTACAATGTGCTTAAAGATTTAATCTTTAACAAATCTAGTCCTTTTCACAGCTAAATCGAAGACGGTGACTGAGTTACCACGTATCCAGATCAGCAGGAGATATATATATATATATATATCATTACAATGCAGATTCAAAATCGCAAAAATTGCACCACAATATGACCTAAATTGCATATTATATATAAATTGCATATTTATAAATAACAGAAGACCTTTTTAAAAGGCCCATGAGTTAAAATTCAGTAAAAGACTTAATACTTTGTTTAAAAAAAGGCATTTCTCTATACTGCTGAAATGATGTTCAACATATTTCCTGAGAAGTGATTAAAACAAATGTTTTACATTTCCGCAGTTCATAAAAATACTCTTTTTCAGTGGAGTGTAAAGCTAAAAGCAATAAATGTCATAATGTTGAAATGAAAGGGCACCTTTAATAACGCCTCTTAGGTGCACAACTTTCATTTAAGGGCGAGTCTGATGTGTTTGAGGTACTGTAGAATGTACGTAATGGACTTGCTTAAAGTATGCATATGCAATCCTTAAAATGCCTATTGGAATTTAAATACACTAAAAGGTACATCTGTGAATAATACATTGTGCCTTCCAGCAGTACAAACACCTTATACTCATTATCTATATAAATAAATGAAATTAAAATTAAATCAATGCCCTTCTCAAGAGTTTTGTTTATTACTGATAACTCCTGTTGGATTAGTTACCAGCGGTTTCCTATGGATGAACTCTGTGCATTGTGTGATTTTCTGTTTCTCGGGTAGCGCTTAAACTCCTGTAGTTCATATGGGCCCAGGCTCTGGTCCACGCCTGGTTTAAGCTTGTAGCTTAGTGGAGAAACTATGTAGCCATTCCGGTAAAGGCAGACTTGCTTACACATCTCAAAGCAACTGAAAAGCAGGCCGAAATATGGGACAATCTGTAATGTCAAAATAAAAAATAATATTAGTAACAAGGAAGTTGAAATGCATTATTTATATAAGGTGTTTCCATAAATACCAACTAAAAATATTTAAGCATGCTATTTCATGCAGAGGCAGCTCAAGAAACTCAATTTGTCGTATTAATTAAATATAGTGCAAGGAACAGACTGTTGTTGAAGAAATATGTTACAATACAACATAATACAATACAAGTGAGTTTTTTAATGAAACTTTGTAGGACCATTTACACAGAAAACATATGGTGCTTGGATTATTTTTTATCTCTGTCATCACATAAACATATAAAACAAACGTCACCTTCACCATGTTGGCTGTAAGGCCACTCCAAAGAGCCATGACGCTCTTGTTCTTGATGACCTGTCTGAAGCAGTCTATCATTCCATTAAAATGGACATCAACTCCTCCACAATGGGGCAAAAGAAGACTCTGGGCCTAGAGTAAAGATTGGAGAAATATTGCTGATTATTAAGATTCAACTGCGTACTTGCATAGGATTCCATAAGAGAATACTGACACTGTTCTTTATAAACAGGAATAAGTTACATCAAATCAATGCATAGTGTAGATCAGTGTTTCCCAACCGGGGTGCCGTCTGTTGAGAGCAGGGGTGCCGTGTAAAAAATCATTTTTTAATATTTTTAAATAGCTCAAATGTTTTTAAAAAGCATCTATTTTATAATATCCATTTCTGATGTCGCCAATAATTAGAGATGCACCGAAATTTCGGCTGCCGAAAATTAGTTCACCGCTCAGGTTTCACTTTCACGTGGTGTGACGCTCTG